ACCACTCTCTTCACCTTTCTTTTACACTCCGTATACTCTGCTCTTCTAATAACACTTCTGCTTTGTAAAAACCTCTCAAGCTACCTTTTTCTCTTTTATCACACCCTTTACTTCATCATTCCACCAATCACTCCTCTTTCCTTCTGCACCCACCTTTCTATAGCCACAAACTTCTGCCCCATATTCTAATACTGCATTTTTAATACCATTCCAACCCTCTTCAACCCCCAACCCCCCCACTACTCATACTTGCACTAGCCCATCTTTACATTAATTCTTATGAGAAATATTTTGGATTTCAGCCTTTTCAGATTTAGGCTACATTCTGGAACAGATTACGGCCAATTACCGAGGGTCAACTGTAGATGTGCAATGACATCTGTCTTTTATGTGAATTGTATTACAGAAAAACAAAGCCAAACAACTTTTCCTTTAACAATCAAACTGTAGGATGGGCAGAAAAAAATCCTGTTTGAGTGTTTGTAGTATGATTTTGAATAAAAAAAAAAAAAGACTAAAATGAATGCTATCTGATATGACCTTATTATTGCATGGTGTATTGAATTTGACCCCCAAAAAATGACCACTCATCTGCAACAGTGGCATAAATGCACCAGTGATATTTATGTTTTAGAATTTATTGACGTCAAGATGTAATTGTTTTTCAGTTTTTTAATTAATTTTAATGTTAACACTTATAATATTAGATGTGTATAATGATGTTTTAACACTTCAAACATGAGGAAATACTTAGTGCAACTATGATCAACTCTAAATTTGCTGTATACAGCCCTTCCCCACTTAGCGACAAAGTTCCGTTCCTAAGACCATGTCATTAAATGAATTCCTGGCTTAGTGAGGAACATACTGTAATGGTAGTGAGTTTGTGTCATCCATCTTTGATATTGTTTTAATATCACCTTTGCACCATTTATAAAATTTCTGGTATATTTTTAAATGTTTATAGAGTAGTGTACTCTACAGTGGTACCTCAGGATACAAACTTAATTCATTCCAGAAGGCTGTTCGAGTGCTGATGGTGAATTAATTTGTTCCCAAAAGGAATAAAGTAAATTAGATTAATCTGTTTCAGACCCCCAAAAATAGTTACAAAAGCACTTACAAGAAAATACACTTGCATATTTGTTCAAGTTGGGAGATGTTCATATGCTGAGGTACCACTGTATATTGAAATACAGTGGTCCCTCAATAATCGTCCGGCTCGATAGTCATCCTTTTCGGAAATCGCGTTATTCTCGTCCAAACATTGGCTCGCAAATGGTCAGTTTACTCGCTAATCGTCCTTCGTCCGGGATGCGTACTCATGCTCTGAGCAGCCTCAGCCTCCCTTCCAAGCCAGTGTGCCATTGTTTACCAGTGAGTTACAGTCCCCTCACTGGTTCATATGAAATATTTCATAATACGTATTCCATTTGTTGTAGTGCTTGCAAGTGCTAAATAAGCTACCATGGCTCCAAAGAAAGCTAGTGCCAAGCCTTTGGTAAAGAAAGTGAGAAATATGATTGAATTTAAGAAAAACATTATTGAACAATATGAAAGTGGCGTATGTGTGGCCGAACTGGCCAGGATGTATAACAAATCCCATGCAACCATATCTTCCATCATGGCCAAGAAAAAGGAAATCAGGGAAGCTGTTGTTGCAAAGGGGGTAAATATGCTGACAAAAATGAGATCACCAGTACTCGAAGATGTTGAGAAGTTATTATTGGTGTGGATAAATGAGAAACAATTAGCAGGAGATATTCTTATGATGTCGATTATTTGTGAAAAGGCTAGGCAGTTGCATGATGATCTGGTAAAGAAATTGCCTGCAATGAGTACTAATAATTGTGAATTTAAGGCCAGCGAAGGTTGGTTTGAGAGATTTAAGAAGCATAGTGGCATACACAGTGTGATAAGGCATGGTGAAATGTGGGGTAGGATGGAAAGATTTATGGATAAAGATCACCCTGAGAAGGATGTTGCAAGCCATATCGGCAACTTGTACAGTGACAGAGTCTTGGACCATTTTAGGGAAGTTTTAAAGAGATACCAGACACAGAGCTCTCTGGACACTTTTTTTGTGAGACAGGACTCCAGTGACTCTCAAGCTGGTCCTAGTAGCATTAAGAAACAGAGAAGAGAAGTACCCCAGAAAAGGACTTGGTACTTGAGGCATTGATTGAAGGGGATTCCCCTTCCAAACAGTAACTAATCCAATCTCTCTCCTCTGCCAGTCTTCCATACACTAAGAGGAATTGCCAATAAAGGTAAGTGTTATGCTCTTAATGTTTCATTCATTATGTCCCATTGTATTGTTTATGTACTACATCTATATTTCATGTAAAAAAAATTTTTGCTTTAATACTTCTGGGTGTCAGGAACAGATTAATTGTACACCTACCATCCGACTTACGACTGAGTTCGGTTCCGAGAAACTGGACGTAAGTTGAAATGGTCGTAAGTCGAACTGTACTACTGAATATCAACAAAACATTTTTGTAATGACTTTATTTTATTGTTTTATTTTGGTATTTCATGTTTTACTTTACTTTTTATGTTGTTAGTACTGTATTTTATACTGTAAGGTTTAGGATAAACCTTAGTTGTTTATTTCCCAGAAATTTGGCATAAAAAACACGGTCATAAGTCGAGTGGTCGTAAGTCGAGCAGGTCGTAAGTCGGATGGTAGGTGTATTTACATTATTTCTTATGGGGAAAATTTATTCGAAAATTGTTTTTTTCGATAATCGTCGCATTTCCAGGAACGGATTAACGATGATAAATGAGACCACTGTAAATAGAATAGAGGAACTCATCTCTGATATACATTATTTAGGTATAAATACTGGTCAGAGGACCCACCGTAAGTCTGAGGCATCAGTAAACGAGTACATCGCTAAGTGAGGAGAGGCTGTATAATATATATATTTTTTACTATTTTGGTCTAACAAAATGTACAGAGAATACGTATTACAATTATTTCAGAGTGTGAAACTCCTCAAATCATGGAAATGAATCTCATTTTTGACTATTAGGTTATCCTGGGTTAAATATACTAAGTGTGATTTGTGACTGAATTTCACTGTTAGTATCATGAAATTGCAATAAATTTGGAATAAGTCATCTGAAAAAAAGACAGGAAACCTAAGTAACTTTCCACCATTAATGTACAAAAAGGCAGCTCATATGCCATTACCCTCAATTGCAACTCTGTTTAATTAACAAATCACTAGAATCTTCAACTTTTCCATCCATACTTAACTCTTAAACTGTCTAAGAGTAGATCTACATTTTCACTGCTTGCGTTCCGAATATTTTTTTTTTTTTAGAAACAGAGGACAATTTTCTGTGTGTAATAAGAAAAACATTAGTGCCAATACTTACCAAGATATAAGGCAGCGAAGCTGGCAGTGGATGCTCACCTGACAGCAATGTGGAGTACAGCCACTTGCAGAAATGTTGCAAATATACCTTTTTTTTCCTCTCTCTCTCTTTTAATTTATATAATTTTCATGTTCTGATAATTACAATTTATGGTAGTTCTTGTGATTTTATAGCCAATTTTTGTTCTGACTTGACCCCCAGACCTCAGTTTGTGAGGCGAGCATGCTGGCAAAAAAGATGTGGAACACCATCAACCTAGAAAAAATGATGGCAGGTCACATTTGCTCCTGAGATATCACAAATTATTATGGTCTCTAGGCACCATGAGGGTAATGCTGAAGCTGTGGTAAGAATGAATGAAAGAGTGCTGGTACCTTGGGGTGAAATTTGACTTCAAACTACGAAAACCACAATATAGATCATGCAAAGTGGTTGAGAACCTTACTCAGATATATCTTTCATCTGCTCAGCAGTAGAGGTTGCAAGATTCTGTATGAAGCATAAGTATATTCGCACATTGAGTATGCTCCACTTTCTTGGATTTCTTGCTCCCCTTCACATCTGAGACTTTTTGACAGAATAGAGAACAGAGCAAAACAACTCCTCTGTCTCCTGGACAGATCTGTCATTTCAGTAGAGTCTTCAACACCAGAGAGATGTGGGTGGCCTTACTGTTATGTACAAGGCTAATATTGTCTAAGTACCACACTTGGCTTCACTCCACAGACAGCAGGAAATGAGCTTCTACACAACAAGACAGTCAGCAAGGAGCAATTACATTGTAGCCTTCTCCAGAACATCACTTCATCTGAGATAATTTATTCCTAGGATTACTTGAGTCTAGAATATGTTTGTTCAGCATAATAACATCAACAGAATAGTCAGTTGGCCAAATAAAATCACTGACCCACAGTTAACTACAACTGTATCTTTTTCTGTATGTGTATGTCTCATAACAATAAAAAGGCTTTAAAATGAGTTGATGTAGGTAACAGCTCTTAAGTTGCAAATAAAGTTAGGAACCCTTAACCTAACCTTGTAAAACTCTGTCTAAAGTTAATAAAAAAGAAATCTCAAAGCATTATTGTATTAGTTTCTTCTTTCTATGTCTGGTCATGTAACCAATACAGCTCACTAAGTCTGGTTTTATGTTGTGTTTATGTTATATGTAGTAGTTAATATGAAGTTTTAGCAATATATACCTCCATTATGTTGTATATGGTGGTTAATATGAAGAAGTTCGACAATATATACCTCCATTATGTTGTATATGATGGTTAATATGAAGAAGTTCGACAATATATACCTCCATTATGTTGTATATGGTGGTTAATATGAAGAAGTTCGACAATATATACCTCCATTATGTTGTATATGATGGTTAATATGAAGAAGTTTGACAATATATACCTCCATTATGTTGTATATGATGGTTAATATGAAGAAGTTTGACAATATATACCTCCAGTGTATGTTGTATATTGTAGTAATGTGAAGAAGTTTGGCAATTCTTTTAACTTTACAAAATTGTCTATAAAATTCAATATGAACACTTAATTCTTTAGATTCAATCCTATTAGTGTAAAATCTAACTTAATATTTATTTTCTACAGGATAACGACAAACCAGAGGAGTGTAAAGTGTGCTTTAACAATTATGATGAAGAGCTACAACGACCACGCACTCTGCCGTGTGGTCACACATTCTGCTCTCAGTGTATTGAAGATACAATTAAGAATGCTCAGCTCACCTGCCCCAGCTGCCGTGCTGAGCACAGTGCCACAGATGCTACTCAATTCCCAATCAGCTACACTATGGAGGCTGTGATAAAGAAACTCAGAAGTATCCAGGTTACATCAGTGGGAACAATGTCAACAAAATGTGGTCAAGACCGCACAAGAGGCATCAGCAAGAAGTTACAGTCTTTGGTACAGGAACACAAGAGCAGTATCAGTAACCTTATAAGTGAGTGTGAAGAAGAACTGTCCCAGCTGAGCAAGTACCAGGGGCAGGTGAGGGACTGGAAGACCCAGCATCACCAACTGCAGGACAGACTCTATGATCTGCTGGAGCAGAACAAGGCAGCAATAGAGCTCCTGGAACAGGAGGATACCAGTGTACTGACAATGACAACAGAAGGTGAGTCAGGAAAGAAGCAGCTGCAGATCATGCTGGAGAACCTCAACACAGTCAACACTGCACAGGAGGTCTTCACAACCACTGTTGAAGCTGATCACTACAATGTGGAGGTTGAAGATTGGATCCAGAAGTGTCAGGAACTCTTCCCAGATGTCAACACTGTCTACACCTCAGTAAAGGTATGATGCCACAAATATTATTGAACTTTCTAAACAATTTCTTAATTCATTTTTATATATTGATTCTGTTATGTAAATATATACAACTTTAAGAGCAATATTAAAATGTGATTTTCACCAAAATGTTGCCAGATTCTTAAACTATTTTTCTGTCAACAAAACTTCATTTCCATATTTTTCAATTATTTTTGTACTGCGCGCATAAAAACTCGAGCTCGTCCCTTAAGTTATCTATTATTAAATATATTAATCTTCCTTCTTTCATTGCACTGGCCATATCCCACTGAAGGAGGGTGGCCCAAAAAGAAAAACAAAAGTTTCTTTATAAATTTAGTATTGTATACAGGATAAGGGTTACTAGCTTCTTGCTCCTGACATTTTAGTTACCTCTTATGACATGCATGGCTTACAGGGGAAGAATTCTCTTCCACTTCCCCATGGAAATAACAGGAAATAAACAAGAAAAAGCACTAGTAACAAAAGAGAAGAAAACCCAAAGGGGTGTGTTTGTACATGCATGTGTAGTGTGACCTAAGTGGAAGTAGAATTAGCAAGACATACTTGAAATTATGCATATTTATGTGACAGAAAAAAGACACCAGCAATCATACCATTATGTAAAACAATTACAGGCTTTTGTTTTACACTCATTTGGTAGGACAGTGGTACCTCCCTGGGTGGTTGCTGTCTACCAACCTGCTACCACAGCATAGTAGTACCTCCCTGGGGGGTTACTGTCTACCAACCTACTATCACAGGATGGTAGTACCTCCCTGGGTGGTTGCTGTCTACAAACCTACTATCACAGGATGGTAGTACCTCCCTGGGTGGTTGCTGTCTACAAACCTACTACCACAGGATAGTAGTAACTCCCTGGGTGGTTGCTATCTACCAACCTACTACCACAGGAGGGTAGTACCTCCCTGGGTGGTTGCTGTCTACCAACCTAATACCACAGGATGGTAGTACCTCCCTGGGTGGATGCTGTCTACAAACCTACTACCACAGGATGGTAGTACCTCCTTAGGTGGTTGCTGTCTACCAACCAATTACAACAGGATGGTAGTACCTCCCTGGGTGGTTGCTGTCTACCAACCTACTACCACAGGATGGTAGTAGGTTGCTGTCTACCAACCTACTACCACAGGATGGTAGTATCTCTCTGGGTGGTTGCTGTCTACAAACCTACTATCACAGGATGGTAGTACCTCCCTGGGTGGTTGCTGTCTACCAACCTAATACCACAGGATGGTAGTACCTCCCTAGGTGGTTGCTGTCTACCAACCTACTACCACAGGATGGTAGTACCTCCTTAGGTGGTTGCTGTCTACCAACCAATTACAACAGGATGGTAGTACCTCCCTGGGTGGTTGCTGTCTACCAACCTACTACCACAGGATGGTAGTATCTCTCTGGGTGGTTGCTGTCTACAAACCTACTACCACAGGCTGGTAGTACCTCCCTGGGTGGTTGCTGTCTACCAACCTACTACCACAGGATGGTAGTACCTCCCTGGGTGGTTGCTATCTACCAACCTACTACCACATGATGGCAGTACCTCCCTGGGTGGTTGCTGTCTACCAACCTACTACCACAGGATCACAGTATCTCCCAGGGTGATTTCTGTCTATAAACCTACTCCCTCAGGATGGCAGTACCTCCCAGGGTGATTGCTGTCTATAAACCTACTACCACAGGATGGCAGTACCTCCCTGTGTGGGTGCTCTGTACCAACCTACTACCACAGGATGGTAGTACCTCCCTGGGTGGTTGCTGTCTTCCAACCTACTACCACAGGATGGTAGTACCTCCCTGGGTGGCTGCTGTCTACCAACCTACTACCACCGGATGGTAGTACCTCCCTGGGTGGTTGCTATCTACCAACCTACTACCACAGGATGGTAGTACATTCCTGGGTGATTGCTGTCTATAAACCTACTCCCACAGGATGGTAGTACCTCCCAGGGTGGTTGCTGTCTATGAACCTACTACCACAGGATGGTAGTACCTCCCTGGGTGGTTACTTCAAGAGATATCCAAGGAAGGTTGAAGAATAGGTACAGGTGATGTGCTAGGAAGGGTTGAAGGAAGGTACAAGGGATATCCTAGGAAGGTACAGGGGATATCCTAGGAAGGTACAGGGGATATCCTAGGAAGGGTTGAAGGAAGGTACAGGAGATATCCTAGGAAGGGTTGAAGGAAGGTACAGGGGATATCCTAGGAAGGGTTGAAGGGAGGTGCAGGGGATATCCTAGGAAGGGCTAAAGGGAGGTACAGGGGATATATTAGGAAGGGTTGAAGGGAGGTACAGGGGATATATTAGGAAGGGTTGAAGGAAGGTACAGGGGATATTCTAGGAAGGGCTGAAGGGAGGTACAGGGGATATATTAGGAAGGGTTGAAGGGAGGTACAGGGGATATATTAGGAAGGGTTGAAGGAAGGTACAGGGGATATATTAGGAAGGGTTGAAGGAAGTTACAAGAGATATATTAGGAAGGTTGAAGGTAGGTACTGGGGATATATTTAGGAAGGTTGAAGGAAGGTACAGGGGATATATTAGGAAGGTTGTAGGTAGGTACAGGGGATATATTAGGAAAGTTGAAGGAAGGTACAGGGGATATATTAGGAAGAGTTGAAGGGTTGAAGGGAGGTACAGGGGATATATTAGGAAGGGTTGAAGGGAGGTACAGGGGATATATTAGGAAGGGTTGAAGGAAGGTACAGGGGATATATTAGGAAGGGTTGAAGGGAGGGCATGAGTGATGCTTTAAGACATAAGTCTTAAGCAATCAACAGTTGTGTAAGTGTGAGAGTGGAGACAAATTGTTGCTGACATCCAGCATTAATGTTTGTGTTGGTAATGACAGGTACAGGAGACCATTAAGAAGGCCCTGGACACCATCACCACAGAGACAGGTGCCACAACTGCCACTGTTCTCCAGGGAGACTCAGCCACCACCATCATGGAGAAAGTTAAGATAATTATTGGTGAAAGCCCTCCAGCGACATTAACTGTAAGTTGAAAGTCTTTGTTTATTTTTTATGTTATATAATATGAGTCATGATAACATGATCATCAAGATTTTCATTTTTAAAATTACCTACTTTCTTATTCCTATAATATGGTAACAAACTTGCTACCTAACTTATTTATACACAACTTTTCATAATATTTTGACTGACGGGTTTTTCTAATATTCCATATAGTTGTCATAGTCACAAAAATAGACATTGTATAAACTAAACCAACTGAACCTCCTCTCCAACTCTCTGAAACAGTAAATAAACTGAATGACTTCTTCTCCACCATAGTAATAAATATAGCCAAAAAGTTCTGAGCTCTCAAGCCCAGTTTAGTTATTACCTAACTGATAACTATCATACTTCCCTCTGCCTATTCCAAACTAATTCTACATACATTACTTCTATAATAAAGTCACTAACAAAACCCAAAGCTAAGTCAATTGATGACTACTGATATATAAGAAAGTTCTTCATGTGTTACCCAACTATTGAACAGTAGGGCCCCACTCATACAGCAGGTTAGGTTAAAGGCTACTGTAGGGCCCCACTCATACAGCAGGTTAGGTTTAAGGCTACTGTAGGGCCCCACTCATACAGCAGGTTAGATTTAAGGTTATCGTCAGAAAGCGGGCATTGCCAGTAAGCAGAATGCCATTTTTTCTGCTTATAAATGCATACAAATACCAAATAAGTTTACAGTAACATATACAGGCTCTCCTCACTTAACAACAGAGTTCTGGTCCTAAGGCAACATTGGTAAACAAATTCGTCACTAAGTGAGGAGTATACTATACAGTGGACCCCCGCATAGCGACCTTAATCCGTGCAAGAGGGCTGGTTGTTATGCGAAATGTTCGGTATGCGAATGAATTTTCCCCATAAGAAATAATGGAAATCAAATTAATCCGTGCAAGACACCCAAAAGTATGAAAAAAAAATTTTTACCACATGAAATATACATTTTCCTACACACAAAGAGTAGAGTAGTACATGCACAATATATATTGTGCATGTACTACTCTACTAAATGAAAAATAAATGACACTTACCTTTATTGAAGATGCAGCAATGACTGATGAGACACTGTGTCCTGGGAGTGCCTTTTCCTCCTGAGTACTGTAGGTCCTGTTTGGCATTTTCTTCCAGAACAGGCCTTATCACACTGTGTATGTCACTACGATTCTTAAATCTCTCAAACCAACCTTTGCTGGCTCTAAATTCACCAATATGAGCACTAGTTCCAGGCATTTTCCCTGTTCACCTGGGTGTTAGTCGACTGGTGTGGGTTGCATCCTGGGAGACAAGATTAAGGACCCCAATGGAAATAAGTTAGTCCTCGATGATGCACTGACTTTCTTGGGTTATCCTGGGTGGCTAACCCTCTGGGGTTAATTGTTTCTTGGTATTCTCAATAAGCCACACCAACAACGGTGCCACAGCAGCAGCAGCAGCTGACGGTGGTACAGCAGCAGCAGACGATGCTACAGCAGCAACAGACGATGCTACAGCAGCAACAGACGATGCTACAGCAGCAGCAAACGATGCTACAGCAGCAGCAGACGATGCTACAGCAGCAGCAGACGATGCTACAGCAGCAGCAGACGATGCTACAGCAGCAACAGACTATGCTACAGCAGCAACAGACGATGCTACAGCAGCAGCAGACGATGCTACAGCAGCAGCAGACGATGCTACAGCAGCAGAAGACGATGCTACAGCAGCAGAAGACGATGCTACAGCAGCAGCAGACGGTACTACAGCAGCAGCAGCAGCTGACGGTGGTACAGCAGCAGCAGCTGACAGTGCAGCAGCAGCTGATGGTGGTACAGCAGCAGCTGTACCACCAATAATAGCGATGGTTGATTGGGGTTTATTATACAACCTGGCCAGCTCGGAGACACGCACTCCACTTTCATACTTATCAATGATCTTTTTCTTCATCTCCATAGTAATTCTCACCCTTATTGCTGTAGGGTTGGCACTAGAAGCCTTCTTGGGGCCCATGGTCACTTATTTTCCAGAAAAAATCACCAAAAACACTGTAATAATACGAAATGTTCCGATTGTATGCTTGGATGTTACCGCGGAGGCTGGCTGGTAAACAATGCCACCGGCGGAACATGTGAGCGTGGCTCAGGCCGCACATTGGACGCGTCTCGGACGAAGGGCGGTGAGCGGGTTTTTGGGCGGTATGCAAGGCAAAATTTTAGCGATCAAAGCGTCCGGTATGCGGATTGTACATTATGCAATGCGTCCGGTATGCGGGGGTCCACTGTAATGGTAGTGGGTTTGTGTCAACCATTGTTGATAATGTTTTAATGTCATCTTTGCACCATTTATAACATTTCTGGTATATTTTTGAACGTTTATACAGCAGTGTACTGTATATTGTAATAAACAAAATAAGGAAACCTCTAATATACATTATTTAGTTGTAACGGGTCAGAGAGACCACGTAAACCCGAGTCATCGGAAAGGGTTTTGTCATTTAGAAAGGGGAAAGCTTATTATGCTTTAAAAAAAATAAAAAGTAAAAACTACACAGAAATTTTCATTACTTTAAAATTTTTGAAGTCTTAATGGGGGTAAGGTGAGTAGATTTTTTTGTAGAAAGGGGAGGAACCTGGCTCCAACCCCAAAAAGTAATACATAATATTTAAACTCTTAACTGTCCATTGTGATTTTACTTTTTTTTACTGCTGGTGCTCCAAATGTAGATCACGTTTATTTTCCTGCCTCCAAATTTTTCCCTAAAATGAGCCTGAGATGCCGGTAAGTATAAAAGGTCTAAAACCCCCATTTTGGCAGTATTAAAAAATTGGGGCTACTTAGACCTTGGGGGAGCCCAGATAAAATTGAAAACCCAATAGAAAAAAAGAATATGGAAAAAACCCCGGATTCACTGTTGTCATTTCATTTTACACTTCCCATAAAAACAGTTGACCCTTATTTAGGGGTTTTGGGATAGATGTTCCAAAAAGGGTCAAGGAAATATCAAAAACCTAGTAAAAACCCCATATCAAATCCTTTCATTTTTGATACCACGGTGTGTCTCCTGCCAGAAAAACCCTTGCCTATCCCCTAAGTAAAGAAAAAATAATTCTGGAATTGAAATTTGTGTTCCAGGCTGGCGGCCGGGTAGGGGGGGGGCGATTGATTTGGGTTGTCTCATTCCTTCTGTCGTACTATTTCTGTCATCTATCTCCTTTGCAAATCTCTGTCTACTTTTTTTGTATAATCTTGTCTCTGTTTTCCCGTCTCGTCTCTCCCTGTACTCACGGGTACAATAAGCACATTTTACAACAAAGTAAAATTAAGGGGAAAACCCCAAAAAAACCAGAAAAAGTGTGATACTGTGCTTGTAAAATTTAAGACTAATAAACATGAGGGGCAAGTAATACATTTTTTCATTGATCGGAACCGTCACACTACCAAATACTGAAAAACCCGAATTACGAAAATACTACCGGGAGAGGACAAACAAACTTACACAAACATTGAAAAAACCTACTTCATTCGTTGGGGTAACAGACTACAATGTCCCCTTAACAAATGATAAAGGGATCCCCATCACAAAATAACAGAGGGAAAATTCTTAGGAACCACCTTGATAATAGACTCAAATTTCTACACATAACAACAAATTTCTAAAAAATTTCCAAGACTGTAGGCATACTATCGAAGATAGGTACTATGTTCCACAGTCACCCTCCGGGCCCTTTTTTTTTTTATATCACTTTTTATTTCCCCCTATCTCACCTATAAATTTTGTGCATGGGGCTCAACAACATTAACCATCCAGACCACTAATTACCAACAAAAGGCTGCAGTTAGAATGATAAAAAATTCACTACAGGCAGCACCTCCACCAATATTCAATACACAAACCCTACCCCCATACAGAACATCCATCTTATTACTGCACCTATTACATACATAAACACTTAACTCTGTATTAACCCTCCCCTCAAACTTCTTTGCCAACCTAAACAAAACACATGACCATAACAAAAGGGCACAGATCACTTTTTGATGTTCCTCGTGTCCACTCACCTATGAAAAAAACTCAATGCACAAAAAGGGCCCTAAAATCGGGAAATTTCATTACCTGTAAAAAAAAAAGAAAACTACCTTTTTTATATATTAAAGTCCTTCCAAAGATCACTTATCACCCAAAACCAATAAAATACTGAATAACAAACCTTTAAAAATTTTGTATATCTTAAATGTTTCTCAAAATTTATACACATAAATGAAAAACCCTAAAACCGAATCAAATTTTATTATTTTTTAAATACATACCTAAAAAAAACACTACCTAACGAATGCAACCATATACCTGTTTTTGTAATACCACTTGTGCTTTATAGTAACTTTTTACTTAAAGTTTTATCACTGATTTCATCATTGCTTGTTAATCAAAATTATTTTAACCCACCCCTAATGTATGCATAGAAAGGGGGCTTTGGCATACTGCTCTTATCTGTATTTTTTTGTCCCTCTGATGTGTGCACAAATTAAAAATAAAAAAAAAATAAATAAACCCAGACATGACGACTCTGCATCTGTGTAATCCCTCTTGGTTCTGAGGGGTGTTCTCTCTATAAGAGAGACAGACAGAGACACGGGAAAGACACATAGGCGACAAAAGACAGATAAGCAGACAGATAGCATTTTTCAGTTTAATGTTAACATAAAAAGAAATAAACCAGGGTTTTACTGTCAGCAGGGCATACATAAAGTTCACTGAACTGCGCACTGTAGCGTCATTCATCAAGTGTCACTAAACTGCTGCACTGTCAGCAGGCATGATCATAAAGTGTCACTGAACGCTGCACTGTCACAGTGCATGTATCGTTCACTGAACTGTGCACTGTCAGCAGTGCATGATCATCAATGTCACTGAACGCTACACTGTCAGAGTGCATGATCATCAAGGTCACTGAACTGCGCACGTCACAGTGCATGTCATAAGTGTCACGAATGCTGC